GTTCTTCATGCTAAGGTGACCCTTTAATACAGTTCCCCATGTTGTAGCGACCCTTTAATACAGTTCCTCATGTTGTGACGACCCTTTAATACAGTTCCCTATGTTGTGGCAACACTTTAATACAGTTCCTCGTGTTGTGGCAACTCTTTAATACAGTTCCCCATGTTGTAGCGACCCTTTAATACAGTTCCCCATGTTGTGACGACCCTTTAATACAGTTCCCTATGTTGTGGCGACCCTTTAATACAGTTCCTCGTGTTGTGGCAACTCTTTAATACAGTTCCTCATGTTGTGGTGACCCTTTAATACAGGTCCCCATGTTGTGGAAACTCTTTAATACAGTTCCTCATGTTGTGGCAACTCTTTAATACAGTTCCTCATGTTGTGGTGACCCTTTAATAGTTCCTCATGTTGTGGCGACTTTTTAATACAGTTCCCCATGTTGTGACGACCCTTTAAATACAGTTCCCCATGTTGTGGCGACCCTTTAATACAGTTCCCCATGTTGTGGCGACCATTTAATACAGCTCTTCATGCTAAGGCGACCCTTTAATACAGTTCCCCATGTTGTGGCAACTCTTTAATACAGTTCCCCATGTTGTGACGACCCTTTAATACAGTTCCCCATGTTGTGACAACCCTTTAATACAGTTCCCCATGTTGTGGCGACCCTTTAATACAGTTATCCATGTTGTGGCGACCATTTAATACAGTTCTTCATGCTAAGGCGACCCTTTAATACAGTTTCCCATGTTGTGGCAACTCTTTAATACAGTTCCCCATGTTGTGGCGACCATTTAATACTGTTTCCCATGTTGTGGCGACCCTTTAATACAGTTCCCCATGTTGTGGTGACCCTTTAATACGGTTCCCCATGTTGTGGCAACCCTTTAATACAGTTCCCCATGTTGTGGCAACTCTTTAATACAGTTTCCCATGTTGTAGCGACCCTTTAATACAGTTCCTCATGTTGTGGCGACCCTTTAATACAGTTCCTCATGTTGTGGCAACTCTTTAATACAGCTCCTTATGTTGTGGTGACCCTTTAATACAGGTCCCCATGTTGTGGTGACCCTTTAATACAGTTCCTCATATTGTGGCAACTCTTTAATACAGTTCCTCATGTTGTGGTGACCCTTTAATACAGTTGCTCATGTTGTGGTGACCCTTTAATACAGTTCCTCATGTTGTGGCGACCCTTTAATACAGTTCCTCATGTTGTGGCGACCCTTTAATACAGTTCCCTCATGTTGTGGTGATCCTTTAATACCGTTCCTCATGTTGTGGTGACCCTTTAATACAGTTCTTCATGTTGTGGCAACCTTTACCCATACAATTATTTTGATTGCTACTTCATAAGTTCAATCAATGTGTTTTCCCGATGGTCTTAGGCGACCCTTGTGAAAGTGCCATTTGACCCACAAAAGAGTTGCGATCCACAGGCTGAGAACCGCTGCTGCAGACTGACATGTCAAAAAGCATTAAAAATAATTTTTTTTTTGAAGTCAAGGTTCCCCAATCAAAGGATATGAACAACCTTGCTGACACAAATCTTGTTGAGTCTAATATGTATCACAAAGACCTGAATTATGATGACCTTTTAAATGAATATCAGTTTCTCAAGCACTATGTGGCTCTTGATGAAAATTGTGAGACCCTCTCTGCACTGTGCAGAACAATAATTGTGGACAATCCCAAATCTCTTTTCCTAAATGTTGAAATTGCACACTGTAAATTATTCCTAAATGTTGAAATTGCACACTGTAAATTATTCCTAAATGTTGAAATTGCACACTGTAAATTATTCCTAAATGTTGAAATTGCACACTGTAAATTATTCCTAAATGTTGAAATTGCACACTGTAAATTATTCCTAAATGTTGAAATTGCACACTGTAAATTATTCCTAAATGTAAAATAAAAGTTGATGGTGTTATTTTAGGACAAGTACAGAAATTTTAGTATCTGGGCACATGGATAACATCAGATGGAAGATGCATAACTGAGGTAAGAAACAAAATAGGACAGACAAAAACTGCATTTTATAAAATGAATATCTTGTGCAATATATCCTTGTCATTGAGTTAGAAAAAGAATTCTTGCTTGCAATATACATCCAGTTTTAACATATGGCTGTGAATCCTGGACAATCGGTAGGCAGGCCAAACATTTTCTGGAGGCCTCAGAGATGTGGTTTTACAGAAGAATGCTTAGAATACCTTGGACAGCCAAAAAGAGCAACCAAGAGGTTTTGAAAGAGACAGGAACCCAAAGACAACTTATCACAGACATCAGAAGGAGACAGTGATAATTTTTCGGCCATGTTATGAGAAGAGGGAAAATAAAACACGTTGTTACCACTGGAAGGATCTGTGGAAAGAGGGATAGAGGAAGACAACGAGAGAAGATTCTTGACAGTCTTGTTGCATGGCATGGGGGTGTGTCGGCACACGAACTGATACATGCTGCAGGAGATCGCAGATTGTGGAGAGGCATGATCGCCCACGCCAGTCGGCATGGCACCTGATGATGATGAAACTCCAGTGGCAATTCCTGGTTAGTCATCCACTCCTGGACTGTGGCTTTGTTCTAGAACTTGAGATCTGCGTGCACTTTCATTTTACAGATCTGGCTTACTTATATGCAGACTGCTGGTTCCTTGTCTCTCAGGCAGATGTACCAATTTAGAAAAAAAAAACCTAATTAGTTGCCTTGCTTGCTGGGGAAAAAGGTGCAGTGGGCATATCTATACACCCCCTTCCCCCACCCCTGCCCCCTTCAGAATTTGAGTTGGACAGGGCAACCCCTTAAACGTCCTTGAATGAATGGAATTAAGAATACAACACCAAAGCACTAACGACATTCTCATAACTGCTCCATTCCCATCTTGAGGAGCATGTGCAAAGTTCCAATTCTGACGATACCGGTAACGGTCTGATTGTATACCCATCTTGTCCCTATATGTTGAGCATCAGCCACATGCTCTGTGAGTCAGTTACAATCACCACATGTGTGTAGCTGGTTCTCAAGCCAGAGGAAAGCTGCCATGACTGCCTCTATCTCCATTCTCAAACTAGATGTTGTATCATGTGCCAGGCTTTGTTGCACTAAGCTACGTTCATTCACTTTTGCTATTAACCCCATGTACTTTGTCTGTTCCTTAACACAAAGCAATCTGTATGGATAATCACATCACATGGTCAGGAAGTTTCATGCATCAGTTACTGAGCTTCTGATTCTCCAGCACCCAGGGGCCAGTCCTTGCACTCACAGCCCAATGTGATTAAAACCCTATACAAATCTGACTGCTGCTCTGAGACTGACTCACTCACTACTCTCCTCACCCAATGTTATCAAGCCTGTAAACATCTCTAATTGTGTCATCAGCTTGTGCCATCCAAGACCTTTCTCATTTCAGTCTGTGATGCTTAGTTCTACACAGAGTTACATGCAGGAGATGCTTATCTGCTGTTATTGTCTGAGATATGACATTGCTTAAAGCACTTTAAGCCATATCTGAGATATGACTTTGCTTACAGAATTTTAAGCCAATATGCAATAGTCAGCAGTGCAAGTATATCTGCATAAATACCACCGGGGTATTTCATGTATATCCTAGAATTACCCTTATGACTTCATTCTGAATGCATTCAGATTTCATCAGCAGACCAATTCAGTAGGCCTTCTAAGTCCATAATCTATCACTGAGAGGATCACATGCTGGAACATAGTGAACAGCATTCTTTGTTCCATGTCATAATCTTGAGTGCACTAAGTCCTTTTTTGGCATTTTGCTGCAACTGCCTCCATATGATATCTGAAGGACAGGCTTCTATCAAAAGTAATACCCTATTACCTCAGTTTTCTTTCTCTTCTGATGGTTCTATTATTAATTATGAGACATTTGTTTTAACAATTCTATTGTACAGAGAGCACCACAAAACAGCCACCTATCTCGCACATAAGTCAGTCACTTTGTCTACAGTTGCCTATAGCTCTTGGGCTATCCGTTGCCTATCACCCCGCTGCCTAAATGCAAGAACATCATCGGCAAATGTTAATATCCTCCCAACACCTGGTGCTTCAAGTTCTGCAATCTTGCTTATAGACATAATGAAGAGCACTGGTGAAATTGCGGAACCCTGGGGTAGTCGGAACCCTGGGGTAGTCCCGGTGCGATATTGCATGGTTCTGAAATCCATGTACCCAGGCGGAGGGCAACCATACCTGAATGCTATATAGCTGTTATCTAGTTCACCAACCAGGGACAGACCCGCTTCTCCATGAGCGCAGATATCAAGATAAGATATCTGAACATCTGATTCTATTACAGGCATTCTCAAGATCAAGTGCTGATACTACCACTGACACCTTTGTTTGGAATAATGTTTATAAACACTATTGTAGTAGACACTTTGTGGTGGGTACCGCAACCTTTTTTGTTTTTTAAATTAAACACTCTGTGATGGCTGCTGGTGCTTTTTATTCTATGATTTAAAAAAAAGCCCTTTTTGTGACAGCTATTCTGACAGAATTAAAGCAATTTATCTACTAGTGTGACAAAACAGCAAGTTAGTGGATAACAGTACAAACACCATCCGTTATATGAGACGATAGTAGCACTGATTTATCAAATAATATTACAATACCAAACTGATTCATCTAATTGCATTACATTACCAAAATGATTCATCCAATGGAATAAAAATACCAAAATGATGCATCCAATGGAACAACAGTACCAAAGTGATTAATCCAATAGGATTGCAGTACTATAGTTATTCATCCAATGAGTTTACACTACAAAAGTGTCTCACCCAATGGAATTACAGCACCACCTTGCAGGATGACAAAACCTCACTCAAAGTCATTTATATAATTATACTGGTTTCCAAGTATTCCATCGAAATGACAAGAATTCTGAAGAATCTCATCCAAACTGTAACAAGTATCAATGACGATCGTCCAGTACAAGATAAAAACAGACAAGTTATGAGAAGTCACATTTTTTCTGGGACATCCCCTCCAAACTCAAGCTGATCCTCAGTGTCCGGGACATATGTCCCTGGCGGGAAAAGCTTATATTTAGCAGTTTCTCCGCCACATGCCATAACATGCTCAAATAACTGATTGGCTGATCGTTTTCTGGACACACACAAGTACCTGTTCTGGCCCTTTCCTCGACTGACACTGCGAAGATTCAGCTTCCGACTCTCATCGTGAATGATCTTCCTCTCTTCAATGCTGAATTCAGACGAAAATGCTAAATCCTCTTGGCAGTCTGAGGAAGCATATGTTTCAATGACTTCTTTCATTCTTTGCCTGAAATCACCTGTAATTCCATACTCCGCACTAAGTCCCAGACCTTGTCTGTTTATGACACTCACCAGAGACACAGGTTCTGAGATTCCTGTGCCTTCCTTACCAACACCACCTCCAGACCAGCCCATTTTCTGAAGCATTTTACTGCCAATGTTATCGCTGCTGATCTGGTTTGATTTTAGCTGGATTTCCTTCTGAATCTCTTCTTTAGAGATGGAGGTGGTGGAGTCTACAGCTTGTTTGGTCTTCAGCACCCAACAGTGGCTCCTCAAGAATTGTAGGCACTGAGCAGAAGCTGCAATTTTGGATGTAGGTTTTGATGAGTCTAATACGTCAGCTACAACCTCCCCTTCAATTTTTACAACACATCGAGTAGCCATTCCTTGATTGAAATAATCATACTCCAACAGCATCCTGTTAAAATCGGCGCTCTGCTTCAAGATATTTACCGCACCTCCTGCAGAAGTGGGATTCCACTGTTCTACAACGATGAAATCCTCCAACGCTTTAAAATCGTTTCGTTTACGCTTGACAAGCTGGCTATTTGATTCTTGATAATAAGGAACTGCCCTGCCTGGTAACTTCCTATTATTCAACGGCCTGGCAAAGGAAGCCCTGCTATTATCAAACCGAGCTGTCTGAATCGGGCGCACGTGTCTGTCCTGTATTAAACTTGTTCCCTTTATGACTAGGTGTTTATCACCAACCTGGACGATTTCCAGCTTAGGCATCACAATCACTCTTAATGCTGCCTCACACGCATTTGTTTTAGCCTGCTTTATGTTAGGTCCCATTTCCGAAGCCACTTCAACTCCTTCAATCAAAACACAACATAAGAAACTGACTGATTTATTGTTAACAACCTTCTCTACAGCAAAGTCCATAACAACAGGAACATGATTTCCAGCTGAATGTAAAACTTCCTTCGCATTTTGTTCAAATTTTGACTGACGTTTTAAAACTTCAAACGCAAGTTTTCTAATTTTCTGCAACACTGGATTGGATTCTTTCTGGTAGGCAGCCAAGCATTCTTCTTTGGACAGTGCTGTCTTTGGATGTTGGTTGTGGGGTGCAGGATTAACCAAATTTGTGCCTTGACTGCGTAAGTCTGGGCTCTTGTTGATTACACGGACTGTAGACATGTCTATTCCTTCATCAAGTGGGATGTTACCTGTGGACAAAATATTTAAGATGAAAAGTTATAAACACATTATAGTATTATTTTTCTTTATAGTCTATCATTTATTTCAGTGATAAACACAATTATGTGATTCTGAAAGGTAAAGGTAAAGCAGTTGTAAACAAAATAGAGGGACAAAAATACTGGGGCACATTTATATTTATATTACTGTGAGCAATAACTGTCGTGCATGTTTCAGACATGACCGAATCCAGCTGACAGGCTGTGCTGCTGACGTCATTGCGTCGGGCTAACGATGCGTTAACGCAGGAAGTTAGAGAAATGACCTACTCTACCTCATTACATCATTAAGCAGAATTGTTTGGCATAGGGACTTTTCCGCAGTCCACCGTTTGAAGAAAACTGCTTTGCAGGATGTTGCAGAACCAACCCTATAATTTTTTTGGGTCAGTGATTTCACCAGGCAATTTTACATTCAGTAGTTTGCCATCTTTTTCGGAACATTTGGCTCTTGATACGACTATTGAAACCAAAGCGAGGCAGTCTGCTGTCAAATCGCCCATATGTGGAATAGAACCCAGCAGCCCGTAATTATGAAACACATTCACAGTGCATAAGCCACAGACACACCAGCTGCTGGTAGGCAAACATGTAACTGTATAAAATGTTAACAATTCATTCCTTTTACTCACCAGTTACAACTTCTGGACCGCCCCAAAATCCATAATCATCAGGGATAATGGAAGCAGCTGGTTCAAGAGTTTTACTGTCTGCTTCATGTCCAAAGTGAATAACTTTAGAAATAGCTGAGTTTCTAGGAGAAAATGATGCCCACGGTTCTGCTGCCGGTGCAACATTCTTCACAACAGCTGTGCTGGCACCAAAGGAAACCGTGCTGGACAAAGTGTCTGGTTCACTGCTGGCCTTCACAAATGAGGCAAGATATTTCTGTTTGGCCTCCACCTTCTTCTCAGCTTTAACTTCTTCAACAATGCCTTGACTCCGCTCTTGAACGTCCTTCATCACAGCTGCAGGGTACGAACATCCATACATGATGATGTTTATAAAACATCGAGACAAACACACCAATCTGTCCATCGGCAAACTGCCGTAATTCATTTCCAGAAACTGTTTTCGGAGCCGCCATTCTCTCCTGCTCTCAAATTCTCCACGTAAATAATCTATGTTCTCACAATTATTCAAAGTCTGCTGCCAAGATGAGTCTCCCATTCTGGTCAGTCAGCAAGATTTCTGTGGACCACTACAATCAAATAAAAACCATTATTACAAGCAAACCAGAAACCCATAAAAAAAAAAAAATTTTTAAGTAAAACATAATAATATCAAATCAATAAGTAAACCCATTAGAATTAAACATTAATTAAAATCAAGCAAGCCAGAATCCATTCATAGTAACTTATTATTACAAGCAAACCAGTAAACAATTTAGAACAAAATAATGTTATGTTGAATGCTGAATTAAGAATCGACATCACAGCACTCGGGACATTTCCATAAGTGCTCAGGCCCCACATCAGCAGCAAGCCAAGAGTTCCAATTTCAATGGTACCAGTAACTCTCTGACTGTATTCTATGCCGTCTTCTCTCTCCAATTCCTCATCTTCTCCTCTTCCTTCTCTCTCCGTTGCCACCTGAAGTTGGTATCAAGCACACAGCACGCACTCTGTAGCTCCGGCGATGATTCTTTTTATTATAAATCCATAGAAGGTATTCTTTCAATGCAGGAAGTAAACAGTCACTAAACCATTTAAAATAAAATATAATTCATTAATATCAAGTAAGCTAGCACTTTCTCTTTTTTTATACTCTGAGAGAGCTCAGTCACTTAGATACAGAGGAAGAGGTCGCCCATGCAAGTGATAAAAGGTCAAATACAGAGGAAGAGGTCACCCCTGCAAGTGATAAAAAGTCAGATACAGAGGAAGAGGTCACCCATGCAAGTGATAAAAAGTCAGATACAGAGGAAGAAGTCACCCATGCAAGTGATAAAAAGTCACTTAGATACAGAGGAACAGGTCACCCATGCAAGTGACAAAAAGTCACTTAGATGCAGAGGAAGAGGTCACCCCTGCAAGTGATAAAATGTCAGATACAGAGGAAGAGGTCACCCCTGCAAGTGATAAAAAGTCATTTGCAGAGGAAGAGGTCACCCATGCAAGTGATAAAAAGTCAGATGCAGAGGATGAGGTCACCCATGCAAGTGATAAAAAGTCAGATACAGAGGAAGAGGTCACCCTTGCAAGTGATAAAAAGTTACTTAGATACAGAGGAAGAGGTCACCCCTGCAAGTGATAAAAAGTAACTTAGATACAGAGGAAAAGGTCAGCCATGCAAGTTATAAAAAGTCAGATACAGAGGAAGAGGTCACCCATGCAAGTGATAAAAAGTCAGATACAGAGGAAGAGGTCACCCATGCAAGTGATAAAAAGTCAGATACAGAGGAAGAGGTCACCCATGCAAGTGATAAAAAGTCAGATACAGAGGAAGAGGTCACCCATGCAAGTGATAAAAAGTCAGATACAGAGGAAGAGGTCACCCATGCAAGTGATAAAAAGTCAGATACAGAGGAAGAGGTCACCCATGCAAGTGATAAAAAGTCACTTAGATAAAGAGGAACAGGTCACCCATGCAAGTGACAAAAAGTCACTTAGATGCAGAGGAAGAGGTCACCCCTGCAAGTGATAAAATGTCAGATACAGAGGAACAGGTCACCCCTGCAAGTGATAAAAAGTCATTTAGATACAGAGGAAGAGGTCACCCATGCAAGTGATTAAAAAGTCAGATGCAGAGGAAGAGGTCACCCCTACAAGTGATAAAAAGTCAGATACAGAGGAACAGGTCACCCATGCAAGTGATAAAAAGTCAGATACAGAGGAACAGGTCACCCCTACAAGTGATAAAAAGTCACCCATGCAAGTGATAAAAAGTCATTTAGATACAGAGGAAGAGGTCACCATTGCAAGTGATAAAAAGTCAGATACAGACAAAGAGGTCACCCATGCAAGTGATAAAAAGTCAGATACAGAGGAACAGGTCACCCATGCAAGTGATAAAAAGTTACTTAGATACAGAGGAAGAGGTCACCCATGCAAGTGATAAAAAGTCAGATACAGAGGAAGAGGTCACCCATGCAAGTGATAAAAAGTCAGATACAGAGGAAGAGGTCACCCATGCAAGTGATAAAAAGTCAGGTACAGAGGAAGAGGTTACCCCTGCAAGTGATAAAAAGTCACTTAGATACAGAGGAAGAGGTCACCCATGCAAGTGATAAAAAGTCAGATACAGAGGAACAGGTCACCCCTGCAAGTGATAAGAAGTCACTTAGATACAGAGGAAGAGGTCATACATGCAGGTGATAAACAGTTGGAATATCTGACTCTCTGTGTGGGTTCTAGGGTCCCTTTATGGACGAATAAACAATAAACCCACAGTTTCCCTAATCATGCATGTCATACAAGTCTACTAATTAGGTGAGTTTCCTTGGAAGTCGAAGGGCATCTGCCTGAGAGGCAAGGAACCAAATGTTTGCATATAAATAAGCCTGATCTCCAAAATGGATGTGCAGGTGTCAGTCATCCCCATGTGAAATGCAAGTTTTCGTTATTTGAAGCCCCAACCTGGCTTTTGCCGGGGGCCCTGAATATAGCCGGGCCATAAATACGACCTCATGGCTGAAAGTGGTTTTTGGGACTTCTCCATGGGTGATTCTCATCTGCATGGTGGCACTTTGTGTCACTGGGTGTTTATCGCTTGTGTAATGTCCTGGTGGGTTACAAAAAGAGAGAAAGAGAAAACGGATGTGCACTCAAGAACAAGACCAAAGTCCAGAAGTGAATGAACAGCTAGAACTTCCCCCTGAAGTTTACAGACAGTGATTGCCAAGAAAAAGAAGAAGGAATATCTAGCGCTGTGAACGCCAGCACCCACACAGCATATACCAAGGTTCACACCAAATTCCTTTTTCAAAACCTATCGCTGAAATGCAGACTATAGGGGGAGGGGGGAGGAAGCACTTTCAGATATCAATCTGAACATGTTTAATATAAGCCCTTGTCAGCTTGAAGATATCATCGTGTAAGGCTGGTGCCTATTACGCTACTGTTGGGCAAATGTCCAAGAAGAAGAAAAACCTGACATCCTACATCACAGCAACTCAACTAAGATTACTCAGAGACTAACATTTTAAAATGGGGATCATCACTGGTGTTATGTAACATTTTGGCAGCCTGCTCGCAGGGATCTCTGTTGTGTAATTGAAACAGAATTTACCAGTGGGTGTATACTTTGTGTGGCGGTGGTTATCTGGGTGTGTGATAAAGATGCCAGCATTACCATTTTTAACCACATTGGTTGCTGATCCATCTGTGTAAGTATTTACCACAGCTGTTCGGGATAGTTTTCCTGAATGATGCTTAAAGCAGCTGTTTGCTTCTCAAGGTCATCGGACTCATCTCCAGCTGTGATCCACTCACTTAAGTCATTATCTGTATTGTGGTGCTCCCAAGGTACAGGGTATAGGGTAGGTTTCAGCAGTGTTGTTCTCATGAGTAGATCTTGCTAATAATGATCTCTAAGCCTTTTCCCCGATGGACAAAGCTGTTAGGTTTAAGATGCCCCAATGCAAGATCATCTAATCTTGCATTCATTGGATGTGACTGCATACTATTAAACTTTTCCTTCTGGATCATACTTTTAGTGTCTCTTCTATAGGACAATGGCAGCATTACAGTTATTTTCTGCATCTCCAGGATTGGTGAAGTTTTCATGAATCCTGTGATAAGTCTAAGAACTTGATTTTGAACTCTTAATGACTGTAAATGGGAATTACAGCTGATAACCAAGCTGTTGCACCAAACTCCAAGTGGGGTCTTATCACTCCATTAAAAACTTTCTTTAGGGTTTTTACACTTGCTCCCTAACTTGTACATGATGGTTTTCTAATTAGCCGTAGTTGTCTCCTGGCCTTCCCTTCTACATTTTCGATATATTTGCTCCATGTCAGCCTTTGATCAAATGTCTGTACCTATCACAAACCTGCCTGCATCTCACGAGATTTCATGCCGAACCTCGTTCATGTTCCCATGGGATGTGTAGGGGTGTTAAGATATCTGTTCCTTCGCCTCCTCCATTAATACACACCGTGCGAGGAAAAATGTTTTCTGGTCATTCGAGGCCCATCATGAAAGTGTGGAGGTCTTTTTCATGGCAGACGACATTGAGCGACGGTCCCTTTTTTTTTCTGTCCTTGAGCGAGGCTTTAACCAGTTTTCTTTTCCCTCTGAACTACATCTCTTCTACAATCATCACTGATTTGAGATTGAGTGGCATTTTTCATTTTGGGTCTTCTGAGGTGACGGGGGGAGGGGTCCCTTAGAGAAAGCAATGCTACTCTGCTTCTTACTCACTAATGCTGACTGTTGAAGAAAATTCAAAAACTTTGTTTTCCTTCTGAAAATAATTAATAATAAATGTTGGGCTCTCCTCCGAACTTCTACCCCATATTATGGCGGCCAAACAAATACCCTAACAACGTCTTAGTCCTATGCAAAATAAAAATCACGACAAAACTAGGATCGGCTCCGAATAACAAAACAAATGCTGTAACAGGTTATAAGCAATATGTTAATTGCTGACCTGTTTCTGCAGCTAAACTAGAGGAGGAGCTAAACTAGATGACTGGGACTCCTGATCAGCAGCTACCGCATCTCCTGCAACTTTTTCCAATTTATTTGCTCATGGAGGATACGCTCGGCTGTGAGTTTAATCGGAAGAACACTATCGTTAATCTGCGTGGGAGCGCGTGGTCTCCCCGCCATCTCCATATTAACGTCTGTAATGTTGCGTGTCTCGAAATTGTCAATGGTCGCTAGTATTGTCTGCTAGTATCCTCTGCAGGAAACGATGGAAATTGTCAAAAGGTCGCTATTATCGTCTGCAGTGTTGCGTGTCGTGACATTGTCAAGTAATCCTAGTTTTGCCGCGATGTGTTCGTCGGAGGAAGTCCGCATTTCACACACGACTGAGGCCCTGTTAGTAGGGTTTTGTTATAAGGATATATTATATGGGGTAGAAGTTCGGAGGAGAGACAAATGTTGTCACTCAGTCTTGAGTCTCATTCATTTTTCATGCTGATTTTTTTATGAGTATTAAATCAAAGTTCAACAATGGCCAATACCTAATTATAAATAAATACCTAATAAATCCACATT